TTTTTTTTTAATATACCTACTGATGTAAATTTTGTATTTGGCGATGACGTGTACCCATTAGTATCTAAAAACAATTCTATCCTTAATTGCTGATTTCAGTATGACGACTAGCGAGCGATTGTATGGAAATTGGCGGGACCTAAATTGAATACACTCCGAACTCGCACACTCATTCAGTCGGCATATGATCACACTTGCATACGCCTTCTGAGATTGATGAAATACCTGAGAGAAATGTGATATGCGTAGAACAGGTTAAACAACGAAGGCAACTCTAGCGGTCATATGGAAACCAGCTTTTCTAAAAAGCCTGTTATATGTTCTTAAATATAATAAATTAAGCGATTTTTCTTCTGCTAGATACAAGATATATTAAAATTGCTTTGAATTTTACTGACTTAATAGTAAAAAAAGACTCATCTTTCAGGAAATCCGTTTTACTTGCCGACATGAAGTGAATGAAATGTAATAATCTGCAATGAAGAAGCCATAGAGCACTACAAAAATATGCATCTAACTGGAAAATGAGGGCGTCTCCATTATATAAAGAATATGAGTTCAAGAAACAACCATGAACAGAACTTTCTAACAACAAATATAAATAGCCTTCGTGAAAAAGTCCAGAATTCTTGTTTTAGTTTAGAGTAATTGAGTATTGAAAACGATGAACAATTTATTCAAGCTAGATTTTCAATTTGCCATCTGTACAATCGTTAACTTCTGTACAGTACAATGACTTGTATACAAACATATTTGAGGGAATTTTCCCTGGTAAGATGGTGTCAGCACAAATTTCATTCTTAAATTTATGCATCCCGTACTGCTGGTGTTTCTTAATTCCCTTGTAAGAGACAGAGCTTATTTTAGGTACTATTTAAAAATGAAACCGCTAGTCCCCCACGTCAGCATCGCGGTCTCCGATGAGCCACAGAAGATGGAATGACCCGGCCAGGAGCCCGGTGCCGAGTAAGTCACCCAGTGCTGTTAGGTAAGGAATGCAGTAGTTGTCGGGATCTTTGCCTCGTTTCCACATCCAGTGAACCAGCCAATTAGCAGTCAGAAGGAGAATAGCCACCTACAGTTTAAAGTAAACTCGTGTTAGCGTAACTTATCTTGCCATTTCTCACATGTGAGTATGAACAGGCCCGATTGTCCAAATTCAAACACTTAATGCGCGTCTTGTTAAAGGAGCTCAGTCACGATTTGCGCATATTGAAAAGTTTAGCCTCAATTTTTTCAAAATCGTCGTTTGTAATCCGTGTCAATCTTCTCCATCCTTAGCCATCCTTGTTCCATTATCTCTTTGGTGTTTTTCTATCTTATTAAACTGTTATTTTCAGGTTTCCAACTATTTAAAGATAATTTTGTATGTGGCCAAAATAACTCAAAATACTGTGACTGAGCCCCTTTAAACAATTGTGAATTGGTCGCACTCGCAGAACTAGAAATTATCAATATATTAACTTCTGAGGTGGCCTCCGTTATAAGCCTGGTGGTTTCTTTTGGAGGTCTCCTCGCCGCTTTTTGAGTATTGTCAATATCTTTTGTTATTATTTACGCGGCAAATAAATGACGATGATGATGAACAGTCCAGGATCCGCTATGATTTACATTTTGTTTCACGTGATCGTCTGGGAGAAGGCAGTCCTGAAAAGGGACTTCCATAGTTGCTCAGTTCATGCCTAGCGTTTCCGTGACTTGAGAGGCAGTCATCTTTAAAGTCAAGTGAAACGTTTATGTCAGTCAATAGTAGCATACAACACCATGACAAACAAATTTCCAGGTGACTCTGAAGATGAACTTCCGCTCAGCTTGTCGAGACAACACTCACTTTTGTCAACTTTAAATTGCCTTACCCGCGGATGCAACCCAACAGTTTCTCAAGAAACTACCTTACTACATAAAATTTTCGCGACACGTTTATTTCGCGATTTTGAGGTGCGCATATTTCGCAACACTTAAATTTCGTGATTTGGCGAAAATTTTGTATTTTGAATCACTTGAACTTCGTGTTTTTGAGTAAAACACAATTGATTCCCTTGGCAATGTTACTTTGACATGTCCTTGAATTTAGTAAACCGACTTTATCAAATGTACGATAACGACAAAATTAACAAAAACGCAATGGCCGGACTGTCGACAGTAACATATTTTACGATAACTGCAGAAATGCTCGCGCGCTCATTTGCTAATTTTTATTGTCAATTTAACAAATTGACGTCAGTTTTTTATGCGTCTGTCCTCTTATTGATGATAAATCGCGTCATAACATTGTCAAAGTGACTGTGGAACCACGAGGCGCAGGCGAGTGGTTCCGCAGTAAACTTTGACAATGTTATGACGTAGTTTATTATTAATAAGAGGACAGACGCATAAAAAACTGACGTCAATTTGTTTTTTACAATAACAAGACCCTAAAATGGTCAAATGCCGGGAATAAATGCGGGGAAAAGACGCCGTAAAATTGTCGTAAACAAAGATAAGTGTATTTTATTCAAAATGACGCGAGCATTGTCAATAGCTTTTCTCGCTTTTTGATTGGCTACTTAAAAAAGTCCATAAATTTCATTGGTTAAAAAAAATGACAGTTTGACAGCTGAGAGTTGAACTTGAAAGCTTGCATAAATTAAAATTTATCCGTCTGTACTTTTATTGATGATAAAAATGAGCCAATCAACGCGCGAGAAATTAGACAGTTATTGTAAAAAAGGAGACAGGCACATGAATTTATAATTTATGCGATGCGTCAGCGAGCGAAAGAGGACAATTTGACAATTCGTTATCGTAAAAAAGAAATTGACGTCAGTTTATCCAGCGTCTGTCCTGTTATTGACAAAGAATTTCGTCATAACATTGTCAAAGTACTTTGACAATGTTATAACGAAATTCATGATCCATAACAAGACGGGCGCATGAAAAACCGACGTTAATTTGTTAATAATAATAATAATAATAATAATAATAATATCTTTTGTGCTGAGATGCTGCAACAAATTTCACGAACGTAAAAAAGGCTACTAACATCATGTGTGTTTCTTCAACATAAGCATAGTGAAGTTTTACACTGCGAAAATGAAAATAG